TTTGTAGCATGTAGACCTTAGCTTCCATGAAAAATAATTACACATTTCATTATTTCCGTTTTTAACACGTATGGGGTGAGGCGTGGGTATTGGGGGATCAGCTAGGAGTCTGGCGCCAGATTGGTATCTGGAAAAAATTGGTTCCCTTAGTGACAACAAAAGCCGTAAGTAAGCACTATGTTTTCAAATTGGAAGGATACAAATAAAAGTACACATGATTTTGTTATCTTTGTTTAGTATTTTTAATAAAATAACCATACGGTTACTATATAAATACATGTTCATACATTTTTTAGAATGTACACATTGTATGCAATATAATACTATGAACAACATTTTCTCAGTCAAAATCTTCCCCTTTAGCAAGACACATGGAACACAATGTATTAAAATGAATAATAATCCAGCTTGTGACTTCATATAAAAGCATATATGGAAATTTTTGTAATGAATAATTTCCATGCAAAGTTATAATAAATGGTAGTAATGATTGTAAAGTGACATGGAATAGAATGGAATAAATCTGTAAGAAAACTGGTATGTAATGTTCCGATGGTTTGTTACCATGGAAGATGTCCAGCTTTGTTTTGCAACTGACAGTGTTTTTTGTTGATTACTTTTATATGTCTTTTTAGGTCACCTGAGAAAAAGTCTCAAGTGACCTATTGCGATCGTCTTTTGTCCGTTTTCAGCTTCTTCTCAAAAACCCCTCAACCAATTTCAATGAAATTTTGCTGAATTTAAACCTTCCATGGCCAAAGGTCAACCAAAATTGTGAATTATATGGTCCCCAGCCCCCAGGGGCCTGAGGGGCGGAGCCAAAAAGGGTCAAATTGACTAAAATTTCAAAAATCTTCTTCTCAAGACCCAGGTATGGTAGAATCAAATACTCTTCGTAGATAGAAGGGTCTTAAGGTGCTTTACCATAATTCAGCCGACTGACAGAACCACTATTTGTACATAGTTCATATACTACCCAGGTCTTTCACACTACTTTTGCATTACATGTAGTTTATGTTACCTTTGTTACAAAAGGATTTCTTTTTCATTTGGCAACATCGATAATATCAGTTTTTCCATAACTCAGGTGACCGTTAAGGCTCATGGGCCTCTTGTTTAAAAACAAATCATCATAAATATTATGCATGCACCAACCATAGAAAAAATATTACATTACATGTGTTGTTTATGTAAAGTAGGCATTCTTTATTCTGAAGAGGATCGATTGAATAAAGAGGGATGTGAGGAGGTCATCATACAAGTGGTTTGTTCTTTCTGTAAGTATTAATATGTCATCAAACCCGGTGCAGCTGTTTAATTAAGTGATTCATTATCATGAAATGGACTAGTACTAAGTCATCAGCAAACTTGTTTTGATAATTTGACTATGTTGCATTAGGAGACAAAAAGAAATTGTTTGTATGTACAAGATAATGTGTAGATTGTACATTTCTTAATGTGAAAAATGTTTATATACCAGAAGAGGGGAGGAAACAAAATTACGTTGAATATATTTAAATTTTACCGTGTGAAGGTATGACAAATAACTAATGGAAATTGATATAGACATTTTAAAATATCATGTTATCTGATTCTTAATGAATATCCTTTCCTGTTGCCTTTTTGCTTCCCGTCTCGCGTCCTTTGTCTCAGAGAAGTCACTACTTGTTCTTCAAAATGTTTGAAAACTTGATAATTTACCACAAATAAATACATCAAATCACAACATTCAAATCGTTATAAAACATGTAATTACATCAGCATGAATGTATTGAAAAAAACTGGGTTATTGTCTTAATTAAGATATATATTTATCCTGCACCACATCAATTAAACAATACGTTAACTCTGACTACTGAAGATCAGGAGGTGGCAATGATAGAAATTTGAAAAAAAATAAGGACAAAACATCTACGTCGAACGGGATTAAGGGCGAAACAATCTTTAGCATGGTCGGGATTTAGGGCGAAACAACCTATTACCCTTCTCCGCCTCCTCCTCCTCCTCCTCCTCCTCCTCCTCCTCCTCATT